CCATGCAGTAACTTAATGCCATCTATGAAAATCGGGCACGAACTTATGCAATCATCCAATACATACATTGTTATTGATATATCGAATATACAGGGTGTTTCCGGGTTAAATGACCAAACTTGAAATATGAATTTAGGACCTTAAGAGGATGCCGGACTGTCTTGTTTTACCGGCCATAATAATTATATTTTTGTACACCGAAATTTTTTTTTGTCTCCGAGCTGGAGGCCATCATTTTGAACAAAACATTTCATTATTAAATTTTGATTATTGTACAGCAATAAATAGAATAAACCTAGATTATTTCGAAATTATTCGTTCCTATAGTTCATAACTTCAGAAGTCAATATCTCTTGAACGAAGCGTTTGCGAGCATACTTCCAGAGGAAAATTTTTTCTTGTTTTAAGATCCTAAATTCATATGTCAAGTTTGGCCATTTAACCCGGGAACACCCTGTATAATGTGAATATATAATGTGAAGTTTTACAACTATTAGTAGCATTTAAAACACGGGAGTGTTATAAATTATGTAGATTTATGTCTCTGTGTGAGTGTAATCATTATCGTGAATGTTATAAAAATTTAAAGATTTTATTAGAATGATCGCTGAAGACTCTAACGTTAAAATTTTAGGTTCTGATTCGTTTTATTACAACAATTAATAAGATAAATAAAAATTAAAATGTGTAAATGAGCAGAAGTCTGTATACACATATTGAGGGATATTGAGTGTATAAACATATTAAGGAATATTTAGGTGAGAGTTATGTATATGATATACATGATATACAGGATGCTCAAAAAAAAGAGTAACGTATTTTGAGAGTAGGTAATATTGATCAAAACAAAAAAAAAAGGTCTAATAAGCATGGGTCCTAAGACAAATATTTAGGCTGGTATTTGTTGTGCTTCGAGTGAGGCATGAAGATATTTAGGATCATTTGCCAAATTAGAACTAGGGAGTTCGGGTTTTGCCAAAGAGGTTTCGCCGATTAAAGTAGCCTTGTAGCTTTATTAGAAATAAATATGTTTAAAGATATAATAATATAATTATATTAGATAATTATATAAGAATAATATAATTATATTTAAAGATATTAACTTTAAATCTTCTTTCCTTCCTCGCTCTTCCAACTGTTTCATTTATCGTGATATCGAGTGATTCTGCGTGCGCATGCCTGGTATCGCGTTCTCCGTCACGAGATTAGCTATTATGATCATTGTGACGCTATTCATTAATTTCAATTGTCCATCTCGTGGTTGCTTTCTTTAATATCTCAATTATAATTGCGCGATATACATTAACATAATTTAAATTTTTTTTTACTTTTCGACTGTATAATTTAATAATTATAACTGCCTGCCGCTCGTTAGCGGTGGGTAGTTTTATTACCTCCCTTTCGATTAATTTTCGGAGGGGATTGCTTAGCATTATGACCATATTTATATGGTCGTGTAGCTCGTTTCGAACGGCAAGGCCCAGATGCAAGCTAAGAAAGTTCAAAGTCGAATTTCTTTGCTTGCACTTCCGCAATTTCGTCCTTCGAACCTTCACGATCGCGTAGCTTCCGCGCGTGTCTCGCTGCGTCAGCACTTCGCGCGGTCAACGCTCGTGCATATGCCTTTCTTAGCTTCGAGTTATGAAGTATATTAATATTAATAAAGTTACATAAAGCTACATACATTACATACAGTTTGAGACGTTATGATAATAAAATTTGGCAAGCCGAAATTATAGCAAATTATTTTAACGAATTTAACTTGTATCAACATAATATTGTACCTAATGCGCACAGTAACATATTAGATCTTTTGTTATCTACTTTAAAATGTATCTCGGTGTTTTCAGCAAGTGAACCATTTTATCTTGTGATCGTTACCATCTGGCGCTAATTTTTTCTCTGCCGCTTCCAAATACATCGCCATCGCGATCTTCAAAAACAATCAAATTCAATTTTAAGCGTACTTATTTTGCTACTATAAATAATTATTTGGACAATATCAAATGGGACAATGAACTAAAGGATTTAAACATTGATGAAGCGGTTAATTTTGTATATTTCCATATGAATCATATTATTGACTCTTGCATTCCGACCTATGTTTGATTCTTTTTATCCTGCCTGGTTTTCGAAGGAACTTATTTCTGTTATAAAAGCCAAATGGAAAGCGCACTTTTACTATAAGTGTACTTTTACTATAAACTCTTACTCCTACTACCTAATATTTGCAAACTTGCGATCTACATGTAAGGCTCTCCATTCGAAGTGCTGGAATGATTATGTAATCAAAACAGAAAATGCGGTCAACGGCAATGCTAGAATATTTTGGAATTTTGTTAATCCTTAAAACCACCAAACCTCCTGCACATTTTTCACAATAATCGTTTTAATGGTGATGACAATGTTATTGCCAATTATTTCGCGGACTTTTTCGAAACTGTATACGAGGCTAATAATTCTGATTTGAAAGAGGTTAAATGCGAGCACGATTTGAAAATCACAAATATTGATGTACCTATCATCGAGGTCTTTAACCACTTAAATCTGTTAAATCTGAGGTTTAGCCCTGGTATTGATGGTATCTCTCCTGTGTTCTTCAAATTGTGCAAATACATCATGTTTAGAATTCTCTGGATTTTATTCAATAAATCGTTGTGCACTAGTATTTTTCCCGACTCATGGAAGCTTTGTATTGTCACTCCGATTTTTAAGGGTGGAGACAGATCTCAGGTATCGAACTATAAATCGATTAGCAGAATATAATACCCAAAATCTTCGAGAATATCATCGCCGACAAACTTTCTTTGTTATTCAAAAATGTATTAGCGAATAAACAGCATAATTTTATGATTGGACGCTCCAGCTCTACAAACTTGGTTCTTTATCATGATTATTTAAATTCAGCCATTGAGAATGGTTCTCAAATCGACGCCATCTACACTGACTTTAAAAAAGCCTTCGATAGTGTCGATCACGTAATATTACTAAGTAAATTATCTTCGTTCGGTGTCGGAGGCCCTCTTTTAAAATGGATATCTAGCTTTATCGCTGACAGACATCACACAAATGGTTAGATTTAATAATTCTCTCTCTAGAAATATAAAAGTTCTATCCGGAGTACCTCAGGGTTCTCATGTTGGGCCTTTACTTTTCAATATCTTTATCAACAATATCAAAAATGATTTAAACATTCAAAATTTTTACTTTATGCGGATGACCTCAAAGTTTTTCAGCAAGTTTACACTGTGGAGAACGCTCTTTGTCTTCATGATTTAGATAATCTTAATTCTTGGAGTAAAGTCAATAATTTATTTTTTAACCTGTGTCCAAGTGTTATGTTGTTCATTTTAGCCATAAAAAATACATTTTCTTTTGATTATTTATTAGATGGATTGAATCTAGCGGTTGTTGATGATGTTCGCGATCTGGGCGTCTTATTTAGTAATGATCTCTCTTTTGAAAAACATATTCGGTCTCTCACCAGCTCTGCCTTTAAGAAGCTGGGTTTCATAAATCGTTGCCGCAAACATTTTAAACAGATTAGCACCTTAAAATTGTTGTTTTGCACCTTAATCAGGCCACAACTTGAATACGTGTCTGTTGTCTGGGATCCATACCAGTTAAAATCATAGCATTCTTATCGAACGTATCCAGCACCGTTTTCTTCGTAAAATGAGTTTTAAGATAGGGAAACCCTTGAAAGTTACCGACAATAATTATAATAATTTATTGATGGAACTTAATTTATTAACGCTTGGTAAGAGGCGAATCTTTCTTGGTTTACTATTTATGTACAAGTTATATACATATATAGGCTACAATGGTTGTTATAATTATTGTTATTATTCCGCTCGTCGCCAGTGGATAAACAAAT